CATTTTTAGATAGCAGAATTAATTGCTTTCTCATAGGCGGTCTCGGAGTGCGGTATATCTGGCTACTGTACCTAAAAAAGGTTTGGTGTTCAAAAGTAAGTTAAGTCTGAGTCTGACAGCAGCTGCTCATGGCTGGTAAACTCTGTTAGCTCTCCGTTAGCTCTGTTAGCTCTCCGTTAGCTCTATAAGCAGTGGTCAGTCTGTCACTCTGGTCGGTGTTACCTCCAGCGTCACACACTCTGTAGCCACAAAGCCACGCCCCCTATTCGATTCTCCCTGCTTTGACTTTTGAATGTGTCGGAGGCAGCAAGTGAGCAGGATTTACACCACGTTCACATAGGCCGCCTGAGCAGCGCATCGCGTCTCCCACACTTGCGGCATTCACACTGTGAGCATGTCAGCTACTTGGCTGTTTCTCTATACACTTTTCCATCTATAATGTCCATGATAAATCTACATTAATGGAGGTTTGGGATGGACATCAGAGATATTGAAATCCTCACAGATTGATATTAGTATGTGTTTACTGTCTGTGAGTTCACCTTTCACTCAGTTATCAGGAGGAGAAGATTCACCTCCTGCAGTAGCTTTCCCTCTCTTTACATCAGAATATTTCTGTTTTCACTTTATTTTGTAGTATTTTGTCAGTACATGTTGTTGAATTGATACTTCATGATCTGAGTAGTAAAGGTATGATTACAGCACTGTACTCTGTTACAAGTAAAGTCCTGCATTCAAAATTCAGTACAGGATAATATTATAGTTCATATAATGCTGAATTATTGTAGTACTTTCCGTCAGTACTTCTCTGTTGTAAATTACACACATACAAGAACACTTTGTGGTTTAAACTCAGTGCTGAATAATAACAGACAGGTCAGAGGTCAGAGCTATGGGTGGAGTTTAAATCTTCTTCTCTTTTTAATTAAATGTAAGCAGTTAGCAGTTAGCAGTAGGCCAGATGGTGCTGCAGCAGCTGGATGCTGATTGACTGTGGTCGCTGAGCTGTAATTAAACACAGATTACAGACTGAGTGTGTGTGTGTTCCTGTATGTCTGTATTTGTGAGGACCTCCTGCTCTTCAAAGGCTGAATAATGCCTGTGTGTGTGTGTGTGTGTGTGTGTGTGTGTGTGTGTGTTAAAGGGATGTTTACATTAATGTTCCTGTTTTATAATATCTGACAAATCAATGAACATATTTTATTACATTTATTTTATTTATGTGAAGCAGACAATATTCAACCTCTCGTCGGATCTCTGCACTGTAATACACGATAAGGTAGCAAAACTTTTAAAAAGTTAGTAACAAGTTGCACAGATTTTTTGTGCACACAGTTCAAGATGTTAAGTTGGCTCACCTAATTTATTCATTCCTAGGTCAAGTTGGCACAAATTTCAAAATACGAAGGTAGCTCAACCCACTGCAGTTGTCGGTCCAAGTCATTGTTTTTCTCTGCAAGCAAGTTGGCCGAACATAACAAGAATTAAATACACCAGCATCTCTTTCTTAAAACATTTATTTATTACAAAACAGCAGAATGATTGTTTAGTTAAAGGTTGATTAAATACTGACCCACTCCCTCTGCAGATAGAAATGTCTCATTCTAAGGTAACAAAAACACAACAGTTCTTACTTTCAGGTGATTAAACACTAATGGAAACATATCTATGAATATTATATTACAGTTACATACTGGAGCTTTAAAGGGCATCAATTCTATTTATGTGTCCTGGTTGGGTCTCCCACTTCCAGTAAAAATAAATCTAACATTTTCTGACAGCAGTGGTCTTTAATTATTCATTATTCAACCCATAATTTAGAAAGACTTTGATGTTGGTTTGAACTTCTTACAGCAACATCACATCACCCACAGTAACTGCCACGCTGGTTCTTCCAGCTGATCTCACCGACTTCTTACTGGCAGCTGGAACAAAAAGTTTTATTTCTGCCAAACAACCCAAACTTAGCTAGCTTAACCTTTGATGTAACACAACGTAATGTCATCTGGCTGGACACTGCATTGGCCAATCACATGTATGCAAGCTGACATTCCCTGTAGATGACTTTGTAACATGACGCTTCACAACCATCCTGATTAAAGATAAACCTCTGGACGGAGATTTATAGTCCAAAAATGTAGAAGTAAGAGGTATAAAATAGCTTAATTTCAGCAGCAATCATTCAGATTAACAAATTGCAGTAACATGGAACATGAGTTTTTATTTTTTTTACTAGATTTCTATTATCTTATTGATTCTAGTGTTTTCCTACTGTTCTCTATCTGTGAGTCCTGTTTTTTAGAACCTGGAGCACTTTTATCATTTATCTTTATCATTTATCATGTTTGTCTGTTTTCTGAGTTGTTTGGTGTTTTATATTTACTGCAAACCAGATCTACCTCCAGGTACAAATAAAGTAACAGGACCCTACAATGGTGTAAAAAGAAGCTGTCTGAACTTTCCGGTTAAAACGACTTGTGTCCAGGTGGTTCAGTAAAGACATCTTTTCACTCAAGATTCAATTTGTTTTACAGAGAAAAAAACGGGTCAGGAGGGTCGGAGGCTGCTGAGAGAGAAAGGAGGAGGAGAGGCACTGAAAAGTGTTGTGAAACAGAGGTTACTGCAGTTCAAGTTGAACACTGTTTATATGGATGACACAGTCTGAGAATGTGTTCAGCTGTGAGCTATGGAGCAACAGGAGGGACAAAAACTGACCCCAGTTCCCTGCTGCAGCTTCCTGTTTACACCAGAGTACACTCTGTCAGAACAGGTTATCTGATTTTGAACAGGAGAGTCTGAGGATGTGTAAAGTTTCTGCTGATCCAGGACAGCAAGCAAGTCTGGTTTTTGTTGAACAGTTGTTGGGCCCTGCTTGTTGTAAACAGGCTCTGGTTGGACCATATCCTGGATGTAGCCTGAGCCATTCACAGCACGGTATGAAGAGGTGGATATATGCATTTTATTTAATCAGGAAGTCATATTGACATTGAGATCTCATTTACCAGTGAGACCTGAGTACAAAGTAAAAATAAGATACAATAATTAAAACTAGTAAATATTTAAATATAGATTAATACATGCAACAGCATCCTGGATGCAAGTATTAAAATAAATAAATACAAGCATATTATGTAAAGAAGTCACACTTAAAATCTCTGTCGATATCAGTGTGGGAAGTTTCAGCAAGCTCTGTAGATGATGATTTTAAATACAGATAAAATGTCTTCTTTCTCTAGAGATAAGGAGGTTGATAGTCTTTAGATCTGTTCATCAAGGCTATTCCTCGCTCAGCTACGGTAAGCGTATTGACTCATTTCCGGTTTACTTCTTGCTCTGTGTACACTGTTTGGTGTTGTATTAACTGGTTTCAGGAACGCTTAATATATATAAAACTTAATTTACTGTATTAGCAGCGGTTAATTTACCCGTTAACACTGTAAACGCGAATAGTTCTACCATAACATCGTAGCTAACGTACTTCTTTCTTATAGCGACTTTTCGCTTTATTATTCCAGTTTTCACACGCATAGTT